TGCTCGAAAACGTGATCAGCGGCTTTTGTCGCTATTATATTAAAAAAAAATATTAAAATTTTTATTGAATTATCTAGCTTCAGACTATGAGGTGGTGCAAATTCGTCATAAAAGACATGACAACAACGGATTAACAATTCAAATGATGAGAAAAAAAAAATGCTTCAATTTTATTTGAATCCTACTGACGGTTTCATTGCCGGCTCAAAGACAAAAGTTTATACTGCAAAGAATGAAAACAATAAAATGCAATTTAGATATCAGACAAACGTAAGTATCTTATATATGGGGCGAAAAATTCCTAAAGTGATCCAATTACCAAAATGTGAGCATTCTATTTTTTGAAAAATCATAACTATTGTATAAAAGAGAATGAAAAAAATATTTAACCTATATGATTTCGAAAGGTTTTTCCTGCTCTTTCGAAGGATGTAAAAATTTTTTCAGAAAATTAAAAAATTTGACCCTTTTTTTAAAATCAAAAAATTTTTTGACTTTTTTTTAAGATCGGTCTTCTTTTTAATTAATTTTTTTTTTTTTTTTTTGAAGTTAAAAATGTGTATTTTCACTACAAAAAATATTGAGATGTCCTTTTTTGTTATTTTCTAGATGTTAATTAATTAAATATTTAATGTTAATAAAAAATGAAATATTTTACAAATAAATAAAGTTATTGCAATTCTGAAGCTGACAATTGAAAGCTAAAGTAATTCGCCATCCAACGAGCCTAAAATTAATTATTTTGGATTAACATTAAATAATTAATTAATTAATATCTCGAAAATAACAAAAACGGACATATCAATATTTTTTGTACTGAAAATATACATTTTTAAATTTCAAAAAAAAAAATTTTAAAAGACCGATCTTAAAAACAAAGTCAAAAAAAATTCTTAATTTTCAAAAAAAGGGTCAAATTTTGAATTTTTTGAAAAAATTTTTGCACCATTCGAAAGAGCAGGTAAAAAGCTTTCGAAAACATATAGATGAAATTTTTTTTTCATCTTTCTGTTTAAAAGTTATAACTTTTCAAAAATTCGCTGTATAAATTTTTCAAAAAAATTTAACCCCTTTCCTTTTTTTACGCAGTTTTTGAAAAATCCTAACAATACTTCGTGGTTAATGTACTCACCCCTAGGGCTAAACTATGAGCAAGTTACAGCCCGCAATAATCACAATATGATTTTAGGTAATGCAAGAAATGAATTTAAAATTCTATCAAGATCCACGTACTTTTTCATCAATTACACAGAGTGTTGATAAACATGGGAAATCCAAATTTGTAAGTATATTAACTCACACTCCTGCTAAACAAGATTTTCCCATTCTACATTAACAAATAAATTACAAAAATTTTCAACTAAAAACATATCTTTATCACGTTTAGAACAAGTTTTTGAAAATTCCGAACAAATCAGGAATTAGTCCGAAACAGTCCGATTTTTGTCAATCTGAATTAGTTCGGCTAAATCCAAAATTTGCCCGATTTGTGTATAACTAGTGAATCAGAAATTAATCGGGTCTAATCCGAAGTCAGTTCAATTATACGTAACTAGTGATTGCAGATTCTAGATTTTACTGATTACACAGGGCGGATTAATTTCAAATTCAATTGTTTCAATTGTTAAAATAGGGTGAAAATTTCCCAACTGGGCCACCTAAAATTTAAATTGGGACGCTCAATGTGTACTAAGTTTGAATTTTAGAAAATTAATTTAGCGTAGAACCAAATTTTTTAGTAGCAAAATTTTTATTTAACCGAATTTTTATATAACCGAATTTTTTTTAATAGAATTTTTATTTAACCAAATTCTTATTTAATTAAATTTTCGCTAAAATAAATTTTTATTTATCCAAATTAGTATTAGTGATACTAATTCTGTTACTTGCAAAATAATTCAATAAATATTCGTTTTTTAAAAAAATTCTCAGAAACCAGTTCTAACGAAAAGTTATATGATTGTTAAATAATAAAATAAAGAAAAAATTTGATATTCAAGAATATCAATTTACAATAATTTACAATAATTTAAATATGAATTCATGTATTTAATGTAATGGAGTGTATCAAACAAAAAACACAAGTCACGGGTGTTAATTTTGCATGAATTTCACATAAAAACTGCAAAGGGGACATGCCATAAAAGTATTAGATCCTCTCTTATAAAATTTGCAAGAATGCCATCTGATTTTCAGGTGGAATTTATACAACACAATCTTACCTTCGTATACACACAGCATTTCACACACACACACAAATATTATATGCTGCGTTGATTCCGAGGAACGGCGCACAATCTATGCGCGCTACGGAGTTCGCGTTCCTTATATTCAACGTTCAAGTGATAAAAAAATGTGCTCGTTTATTTTCGCTAATAAATATTTAAAAATTTTAGTATTTAAAATTTTTCTATTTTACTTTTTAATAAACAACCACTTATTGGCAACAAATATTTTTAAAAAATTTTTAAATAAAATTATTTTAAATTTCGCGGTTAAAAACGCATAGTAAAACACGAGCGTGCGCATTGTGCGTTCCGTTCCTCGGAATCACCAGCATACAATGATTGTGTGTGTGAAATGCTGTGTGTATACGAAGGTAAGATTGTGTTGTATAAATTCCACCTGAAAATCAGATGGCATTCTTGCAAATTTTATAAGAGAGGATCTAATACTTTTATGGCATGTCCCCTTTGCAGTTTTTATGTGAAATTCATGCAAAATTAACACCCGTGACTTGTGTTTTTTGCTTAGAAACTATTTTTACAATAAATACTTGAATTTATGCTAAAAATGCAAGTGTCGTGCCATGTAATTAAAGTAATTTACTCATCCAAGCAAAAATCGCAGCAGATTTCTCTCCGTGTAAATAAAATTTTTCTTTTTTAGTCTGGACACGTCAATAACAACATAATATTACAACCCATGCCCAAGCATCTTCGCCAACGACGCGATCTGTTGAAAAGAAATTCATCATTTTTTGAAACTGATGACGAAGATTTCATAAATACTGATGAACATATAATTTATGAACAAAATTTTAATGATTCTACCCGTAAGTATTTGTTTTAAATATAAAACATATGAATTAAAAACATATATTTTCACTTAATAAAAAATACATAATATCCTTTGGAGTTAAGGGTGTCGATTATGTAATTTGATTTAATTATTAAATCAAAGTCAAATTTACTTCGAAAAATTCATTTTTTGATTTATTTTTGACCTCAAATTCAAATTTACCTCGACGTCAAAGTAAAATTTAATTCGAGAAATTCATTTGATGATTTAATTTTGACGTCAAATCAAAAAATGAATTTCTCGAATTAAATTTGTCTTTGACGTCAAAATAAATTTGAATTTCACATCAGAATGAATTTGACTTTGACCGCAGAATCAAATTAAATTACATTGTCGACACCAAGGACAAAAAATTATAATTGTTTAAACAATTACGATTATGATTTACAGTTACGTTTTTTTAAAAATTCCAAATTGCTGTCAAAAAAAGGAAAACTTCAAAAAAGTGAAGCTACAAAACTTTCTACTCGGAAGTTTTTTTTATGTATTTTTAAAAATGACAGATTCAGTATGGCGGACTTTTTTTATTTCAACGAATTCGATTGAAATTTGTTACTCGCTGGTTTTTGGGATTGAATTTCAAAATTCAAAGGAACACAATTTTTTTTTTAATTTAAAAAATTTTTAATGTCGAATCCAACATCGCAGAAATTTTTTTGAAATTTGTGAGATCCGCATGAATTTTGTCATTTTGAGGGTTTTGGAGATCCCTGATTACATTTTTTTAAAAATTGATCAGATTCACTGAAAACTTGTTACTCGGAAGTCTTTGAGGTTATAATTTACTGAATGGAATGTCTGATTTATAATTTGTGTTCCCGGAAACCCTCAAATAACGAGATTCGTGCGAATATGATAATTAAAAAAAAAAAGATTCCATTTAGAATTTTTAATATTGACATCGGATTCGATGTCGATGATCTCGATCAGTGTCTCTGATCCAAAAACCCCCGGGTAACAAATTTCAAGCGAACTCGTTGAAATAAAAAAAAGTCTGCCATACTAGATTTTTGATTTATTTAGATAAAGTAAAATTTAACAGAAAAGCTAATTATATCATTTATTTTTATAATATGTGACTTTCCACGAGAAAAGCGTTATAAATACAACAAATTTTAGGTTATGTTTATAATTTTAATATTGAAAATACACAAAATGGACCAACTCTTAATACAAACCACTGATGTTTAAGTATTCATTAGATCCAAGATATTCAATAAAAATTAAATTGATTGTACATAATTAAAACTGCGAACATTTGAGAAATAGCTAAAACTATCACTCAACATAACCTAAAATTTATTTTCTTATGGTCCCTTTTCTCGTGAACCGTCACATATAATAATAATAATATTATTATTTATAATGGTTATCTTTGCAAAATTTTTTAGCAATTTCTACTTCTAACGTAGATAATGATAAATTTATGAAAATTAAGAGTGTGTCCCGAAGGAATGTAGGAGAAACTCCAGAAATAGTGTATCCGGAAATTTTGGTTTATGTTGACGAAATACTTTTCAAGTAAGTACTATTTATTTTCTTCTTCATCCCTTAAAGTACACAATTTAAAAAATTACATAAGTAGGATACATACATAATGTACATAAGCAGTTTATTACTTTTTTTATAATTAATAATATTTTAATAAAAATTAAATATAACAAAGCAATTAAATTTCACAAACTGACGAATTCACATTTAACATAGAATTTTATTCTTCAAAAAAATTTTACTAGTTTGAAGCAAATTTTCTTAAATTAAAAAAAAATTAGTGGATCAAATATGGACAAGTAAAGGATTTTCTTAAATCAATGATAATTTTTTTTCAGTGTAATTCTAACCCAGCTAAATATAAATTAATTTTAATGATACTTAATAATTAGTTATACTTATTGATAGATTTTTTTTAATTACAGAAAATTTAAATATGATATGATAAAAGCGGTAGAATACACTTTAAGTTACTGGAATGGAGTTGATTTAAGATACAGACAATTTCAAGAACCAAAGATTCGCCTCTATATTGCCGGAATAGTATTACTTGAGGTATGTTGCATATAATATTAAAAAAAATTTATTTAAATCTAATTATAATAATCAATTACATATGAATAATATCATAAATATTTATTCTCATCAAACAAAATTAATATATTTGTTTGAATTAAATGGTTAAATACAAAAAAAAATTTTTGTTTGAATAAAATTTAATTGATTCAAATAAAAAAAAAACTTTTTTTTTTGAATAATATAATGAAAAATTTCCTAAAATTTATTGAAAAAATTTGTATGTTAAAGAATGCACCACCGTTTGCGAAGCCTGCTTTATATACTAACGGAATGTATGAAGCACAGATAATTTTAGACGAATTTGGTAAATTTTTATATGAAGACAATACCATTCAACGAATCAAGGATTATGATGTATCCATTTATATGTCTGGAAGAATATTGTATACGATGAATGAATATAGAGACACTACAGGTATATTGTTAATTGAAGTAATAAATTCAAAGAATTTTTTTTTTATTTAGACTTACAGTACCGTCAGATATTGTCGGTATACGCGCCTGACGTGCGAGGAGCGGAAATTTAATACTGACTTTAAAGCAAGATATTTTAAGTTAGAAAATAGTTAAGAAACTAGTAACTTAAATAGTTGGAAAGCTGATAAAATTCTGCGTCTGAATGTATATCAAGAATTTTTTTTCTTTTTTTACCATTTATAACGCCCAAAAATATTTCCAGAAAAAATTATGCAATTTTCCTACTTTCGTATACTAATGTTTCTTGACTCCCGGCATAATCTAGAATAATGTATGTAAAATTTTTAAACTTTTACAACATAATCTTTAAAATTTTAGCTTTAATTTGCTTTTTTGAAACTCAAAATTTTTTTTGTGATTCCTAAAAATATGTTAAAAAATGTTCGAGTATGTTTTTCTATAATCCAGAAGCAAGGCGGCAAAAAGTGATGATCCAACGGCTGAATTGAAGAAAAACATGCTTGAACCTTTTTTTTAACATATTTTCAGGAATCACAAAACATTTTTTAAGTTTCAAAAAAGCAAATTAAAGCTAAAATTTTAAAGATTATGTTGTAAAAGTTTAAAAATTTTACATACATTATTCTAGATTATGCCGGAAGTTAAGTAACATTAGTAAACGAAAGTAGGAAAATTGCATTATTTTTTCTTGAAATCTTTTCGATGTTATAAATGCTAAAAAAAAAAAGAAAAAAATTTTCTTGATATACATTCAGACGCAGAATTTTATCAGCTTTCCAACTATTTAAGTTTCAAGCCTCTAACATTTTTCTAACTTAAAATATCTTACTTTAAAGTCAGCATCAAATTTTCACTCTGCGCACGTCGAGCGTACCTAGAATTTTTGAAATTCAAAGTTTTTTACAATTTTAAAAAATTTTTATCGCCAATTTTTTTTTTTACATTTAAAAGAACATGATATATATATTTTTTTAATTGAAAATATTATTTTTCTAGATGTGCAATATAAATTTGTAAAGATTGTTTGAAAATTCGTGGGAAAATATTTGTAATAAATATTTGCCCCACGTCGATAAAAATATATATCCCATGTCGATAAAATGTTACCTACCGCAAAGTATGTCGTAGTACCCGATCGCGCCGCGAGAGCTATACCGACGAGCTCTCTCGCAAGTGTCCCGGCCACCGATCGGCTATAAAAGCTGCACTCCCGCAGAAAATCGACGACTCAAAAAGTTTTCAAATAGGGTTTTTTGAATTATTCTACCTTCTTACCCAAACAAAGAATATATAAATATTATTAAATATATAAACTTTAATAAAATAAAGAAACATTCAGATAAGTTACTTAAAATAACAGGCGCTGAATATATATCTTAGAATTAAGAAATTTTTATATAACATTAATGTATAACTCTCAATGATAAATAAATGTGGTTTTCAAAGTCAAAAGTCAAAGAAATCGACGAATCTTGTGGTTCACGGAGTCGGTGAGTGGCATTTCTCCAAGTACTATGGAGCATTAATCCGACGTATCGTAAGAGAGTATTTCTCTCGTCTCAACGAGGTATTTCCCGTTGAAGACACGAAGCAGCATTTCTGCATTTTTGAGTTCCCGTTTTGTACGTAACCCCTGGCGTAGTTGTTCGTCGTCGCTTCCGTTCCTCCGACGTAGGGAACGTAACGTAGAGTAATGTTATCCATATTTTTTGATAGTTTCATATTTAAATTGTTCTGATCGTATATTCTGATTGTAAAATCGTTTATATTGTACTTTTTGTAATCGCGTTGTAAGTAAGTAATTTTTAGGTTATGTCGTTCTTTTTTTGTAAATAAACGTTATTTTTCGAATTGTGTCTGTAATTTTAATGTAATATCGTTGTTTAAAAACAAACCCTGATTCGGCGAGCTAATCCAAAACTTATTTAATCATTACATTCATTACAAATTATTACTAATATATAACAATGTTTATTAAAGGTATAGCATATCTTGGAAGAGCATGCCATGATGAATATGAACAACCGGGATATAACAGCGGAAAATATGATGGTGTTGGAATAGTTCAAGATCAAAATGATTATAGATACCTTTTAACTGCTGTTCACGAATTTGGTCACATGTAAGAACTGCATATTATTATTTACATTTATTTTATAGATAATGATATGATATTTAGAAAATAAAAATATATATTTATTAATAATATCAGCGTTTAAAAATTTTTTTTTAAATATGATCAGATTTAAATGATTAATGGCTTATTTTCTTCAGAAAATAATTCTTCACATCTTCACAACACGGATTTTTAAACAAATGCGCCATTTTTTAAATATTGTTATTTATTTAAGAAAAGTGAAAAATTTTTGTTTAAATAAATAATAATATTTAAAAAATAGTGCATCTATTTAAAAATTCCTGAGGTGAAGATGTGAAAAAATATATTATTATTATCTAATGGTGTAGAAATTTCCCTACCAGGGCCCTGATAGTGAATAATAATCTGGCCCCGATCAGGGCCACGAGAAAATGTGGATTTCCTAATCAGGCTCGGCGTTGCATTCTTATTTATTGTAGTAAAATTTTACATAAAATTTATATATATATTTTTTTTTTTAGTCTTGGTGCACCACATGATGGAGAGGAATCAGACTACTATTCTCCACATAGTACTGTGGATTGCCCTAAAGAAGAAAGTTACATCATGAGTTATAATAAATATAATGGAAACAAGATTTTATTTTCTCCCTGTTCTAAAAAAGCAATTAAAAGTGTTTTAAGGTGCGTTAAAAATTTATTAATATAATTTAAAAAATTCGTGAAAATTACCAAAAATTCTAATGAATATTTTTTCCCCTCCAAAAAAAAAAAAAAAAAATTGTAACTTAATTATTATTTTTACAATGACGTAAAATTTTATACTTTAAATTTAAATTTATTTAAATTAAATTAAAATTTATCTTTGATAATTTTAGAGTAAAATTTTAAATTTTTTTGAAAATTTGACTGAAGTGATTCAGTTGATAAATTGCAGCTATATTTTATCAGTACAAATAACACTGATTTAAATTTAGAGAACATTGTGAATATAATAAATTAAATTTTTCTACAGTCAAGATTCTACAAAATGCCTTCGAAATAATCCCGCAAAATATGAAAATAACTATCCACTACGGAGATTATTACCCAGTCGTATGTTCACTTTAAATGAACAATGCAAAAACATAGGAGCCTATAATTGTGATTATGTAAGTTTCTTTAACTTTAATATAAAATTTTTTATAATTTTATTTATCAATAATTATGTTTTGTTTTTAATATGGTTTTCATAGGTTAAGACAACTTGTTTAGACCTATACTGTAACCGCAAAGATAGTCACGGATATTTGACGCCGTTTACATATAACTATCCTCCGTTGGAAGGATCTTATTGTGGTCGTGGCAAGGTAATAAATACTAAATTAAATCTCTTTTTCAATACATACATCATAATAAAGTAAGAATTTCTGAAACGTGCTATCTAAAACTGAAAAAATTTATTTTTCATTAAAATGTTACTTTTTTTATAGCATTTTATATGCACAATCACCCACTAAAACGATTTTGCAAAAAAAAAATTTTTGTTGTTATTAACAATTTAATATTTTTGATCCTGTTTTTAAAAAAATTAATTTCAAAGAAATTCATCGATCGATTTTAGTAATCTAAACGGCATTCTTCTTGTCCTGAACCATAGATTTATTGATATTTTTTTGGTGCAAAAATATTGATTTTTATTGCAAAAAAAAATTGTTTATTTATAAACAAATAGTAAAAACCATGAAAACAATTGAATTTCAAAATGAAAAAAATAGCTTCATATACTTAAAACCCTTCTAAATAATATTCCGTCGAGAAAAAAAATGACATGCATTCGATAATTGATTTATTTAAACATTTTTGACAACGCTCATGGCGCATGTAGTACGTAGTGACAGGCCACAGTGGGACAAAAGTACAATTATCGTCTTAAAATTCTATAGAAGCGCCAATTCTTAACCGATTCTAATATACTTTTTTTTAAATTCTCAGGAGGAGTTCCTCTTTAAAATAAGCTGCAGCGACGGCAAAATTTTTCAAAACATAACCTAAAAAAAATGTTTTATTGAAAAAATTTTAGTTATTTTTTACTTTTTGATTGTTTTAAGTGATTTACTGCTTCCAAATCTAACTATATACAGGTTTTTCGAGTTCCACATTACAAATCCACTATAAAATATTCAAAATTACAAGATGGCGGATTCAAAATGGCGGAAAAAGTGAGTAATTAAATTTTTCGTAATAAAATTCTAAAAACATAAGAAATATTAATCAATTTTAAAGTATTTTTTTTTTAAATTATTTGAATTCTAAAAAACTTGAGATTTTGAAGGACCTAACCTCAAAACATATTATTTATTCAAATAATCTCAGTTAATATTTGTTTTTTGTGATTCACTTCTTCCAAATCTCGAACTCGAAAAACCTGTATATATTTAGATTAGGAAGCAGTAAATCACAAAAACAAATGATAACTGAAATTATTTGAATAAATCATACTTTTTGAGGTTAAGTCCTTCAAAATCTCAATTTTTCTGTAATTCAATGTCCGGATTATTTTTAAAAATTGATTAATATTTGCAATTTTTATAGAATTTTATTACGAAAAATTCAATTTCTTACTTCTTCCGCCATTTTGAATCCGCCATTTTGTAATTTTGACTTTTTTATAGTGGATTTGTAATGTGGAACTTGAAAAACGTGTATATAGTTAGATTTGGAAGCAGTAAATCACTTAAAACAATCAAAAAGTAAAAAATAACTAAAAATTTTTCAATAAATCATTTTTTTTATGTTATGTTTTGAAAAATTTTGCCGTCGCTGCAGCTTATTTTGAAGAGGAACTCCTCCTGAAAATTTAAAAAAAAAGTATATTAAAATCGGTTAAGAATTGGCACTTCGATAGAATTTCAAGACGATAATTGTACTTTTGTCCCACTGTGAGGCGTCGGGCTACGTTCCGCTAGAACTCTAATGTAGGCATTCTATTCTACAAAGTATGTGGAAAAATTAATTTTATTATAAAATTATAATTTTCAAATGATGTTTTAAAAAGAATGTTTCAAATTTGAGTTTTCATATTATTATTAATATTATTATTATGTATAATAAAAACTTATGAACATTTTAGCTGAATTTATTGTTTTTAGGTGCATATTTTTATAACGATATTTTGAAAATTATAATTTAATAATAAAATTAATTTTTCCACAGACTTTGTAAAATAGAATACACCTACATTAGAGTTCTAGCGATAATTTTATAAATGACACTGCAAAAATAAGTGAGTTACTTGGTATATCTCACAACAAGATGTAATGTGGAAAATTGGTATCTTCCATCTTAAAAAAGATAATTTGTAATAACTAAAAAGTGACTTCCAAAATATCTTAAAAATGACTTAAAAAACATCTTATATTAAGATACTTCTTTTTACAATGCATATTTGATATCGAAATTTTTACACTGAAAACAAAATTTATTTGATTAAAATAATTTGTTACTTGACTAATTATTAAATAAATATTTACTTGAATCAAATAATTTTTATTTGAATTAAATAAATTGTATTTAATTAACTCAAATAATAATTATTTGATACAAATAAATATTTATTTGGATAATAGTTAAGTAACTGATTAAAATTTTTTTTTAAGTGTATGAGTCACCTTATTTTGTCTAAATCTCAAAATATCGAACTCCATAAAGACAAAAAACCATTTTAACGAACTGATAAAAGTTCAAATTACCAAATCATTGAATTTCTAGAATTTTTAATTACAAATAATCAAAAACTCGAATTTTTAGAAATCCGATTTGTTAAAAGTTTAAATTATCAAAATATTAAAAGTTCGAATTTTAATACATTAGTATAGATAAAAGTACGAGTTTTTAGAAATTTGAATTATTCTGATCGTTATTTGACATTTCTTATATGTAGACGTTAAAATTAATTTTTTAAAAATATTATCTAATTTTTAAGAATAAAAAATAATTATAAATTTGAAAAAATATATATAAAATGTCCATTTTGTGATCCTCTTCCCTAAAATTTTCGATTTTTTGATAATTCGAACATTTGGTAATTCGAACTTAAAAAAATTCCATCAATTGGTTATTTAAAAATTTTAAAAATAGAAACTTTGTTGATTGGAACAATATTTAACAATTCGATCTTTTGAGATTTAGGCAAAAATCTCGACAAAAATAAGGGGACTCAACCCTAAATATGTGCATCAGTATTTATTAATTGATTGTTTATAATTTTATTTTTCAGTACTGCATAGCAGGACATTGTGTAGACATACTATAAAAGAAACAAGTGAAGATACACTGAAAAAAATCTTGCCGAGAAATTCAACTACCATTGGGTAGTTGACTAGAAAGTAGTTAAAATAACTACTTTTTTAGTTAATCTACACGGAGAGAAATAGATGGTAAGAACTTATGATCTTAAGAAGGTAAAAAGTAGATATTATCCGGTACTATCATTATGCTACTCGGTACTATCAAAGATGTTACAAAAAGTATGGTTATGTTACCCACTATAATCAAGATGTTACTTCGTACAATCTGGATAGTAACTGATAAAATCTAGATTACTGTCCTTATATGTAAGATCAAATATGGTACCTGGTACTATCTAGATAGTACCCCGTACCATCTATTTCTCTCCGTGTAATCATGTTGATGTAGTTAATGTAACTATTTTTAAGAAGTTAATAAGTAATAGTTGATTTTACGTAAATAAGTAGTTAAAGTACAACTACAGGTTGGTAGTAAAATTAACTTTCTTAAGGTAGTAAAAACAAGTGGAATTGTAGTCAACTCAAAATTTCAAGAGTAGTAAATCCAACTACTATTCACCAGTTATTTGAAATGTAGTAAAAGGAATTATTTTCTTTAATTAATATAACTGCTTTTTGAGTAGTACATTTTTTATTAATTTCTATGATTTTATAGGCTTCAATAAAATTCTTGTTGTAGAATTAACAAGTTGTCTGTAAATAAAACTAGTACTTTAAGTAGTAGATTTTTACTATTTTAATTAAATCGATAAACTTAATGAAGATTTTTGATGTAGAATTTACAAAACTTTTCCAGTTGAAACTACTACTTTAAGTAGTAGATTTTACTACTCAAAGTGGTACATTAGGCTTTAAGAACATTTTTTTGTAGAATTAACAAATCCTTTGTGATTAAAACTACTACTTTAAGTAGTAATTTTTACTATTTTAATTAATTCAATAAGCTTGAAAAACGTTTTTGATGTAAAATTTACAAATCCTTTCTAATTAAAACTACTACTTTCAGTAGTATCTTTTACTACTTAAAGTGGTTCAATAGGCTTTAAGAACATTTATGTCGTAGAATTAAAAAATCCTTTGCAATTAAAACTATCACTTTGAGTAGTAGATTTTACTGCACTATGCAATTAAGTTGCAATTAAGTTAAACTTGCATTTACAATTGGATTCCTTTGGAACATTAAAGAAAACACAGTTAAGATCATTTTAGCGTTTAAGTGATTGAATTTTAGATTGTCGCGTGAAATTTATTAAATTATTATTTAATAATTTTTTTAGTTGTAAAATTATAAAAAATTGTTCCGAAAGAGATTTATTCCTCTCATTTTCCTTGACATTTTAAAAAAAAGTAGACCTCAATCCGATTATTAGAACGGAAGATATAGCAGTTTAAAATTTTTTGTTATTATTGCAAATCTCGTAAACTAACAAATATTTTAAGCTGAAATTTACGTTAAAGATTAGTCTTACTATATATAACAAAATTTCAAAGTTTCATTGCAATCGGTTAACCTACTTCGAAAAAGTCAAAATCTCACCTGGAATCGCACTTAAGTAAAGGGGCCGTCCTTAAATCACGTGACAGGATTTAGGCTAATTTTTTACCCCCCACCCCCCAGGTGATCAACAGTGACAGTTTTCGTGACCCCCCACCCCCCCCTATTTGCACGTGACTTTTATTAAAGGCTAAAATTTTTGCAAAAAATTTTTATTGCACACTGTTTATATTATTTATATATATATATATTATATATACATATATAGACTTTAACAATAATTATATCATAAACACATTAATTTCTTTTAAATAACAAAACATAAATTCGCCTTAATTTAAATTGCTTAAAAATTTTCGAAAAATTAATCAGTCTCAATCCAGGGATTTCGAAGACTTTCTTCAATACTGATTAGAGGAGCTACTTCTTCGGTATCTTTTAATTGACTAGCTTCCACTTCAACTGCTTCTGTTTCATCACAATTGTCTTCAACAATTTCATCACAATTGTCTTCAACAATTTCATCACAATTGTTTTCAACAATTTCTTTTTTTTTTCTGTGAAGGAATTTTGCATGATTCAAGACAGCCTTCTTCGAACAAAAATATATACCGCATTTTTTGCACGTTCTAGCTGATATGTCCGACTGTAAACTTGGGCAATAATAATCGTATGGTAGTTTGTCCAAATCGGGTTTGATGTGCAGAGTTTTCATTAAACTGAATTCTGCGAATGTTTTTCCATCATGATCTTGTGGACTTGGAATATGTGGACCTTCTGGAGTTTGATAAATTGGAATTGGTGCACTTAAGAATCGTGTTGGAACAACAGTTAACCAGGAGCTTCTCATTGTTTTGCAGCAAGAGTTATCACTGCACTTCACAACCTATTTTCGAAAAAAATTATTTATTTTCTTTAATTGAATTTCGAATTTACTGCAATAAATTATTTTGAATTAAATGTTGATATTATAATTTGGTATCATATAATGTAACCAACTGAATTCTAAATTAAACTCTTATTTTAAAAATTAAATAAATCTAAATAAATATAGTTATGCATACCTGAACCATGTACTGACTTTCGCGTACATGTTGTGTGTACCATTCTGGTGAAGGAATAGGTGGTACGAATTGCTCAGCTTTTGGGTTTGGGTCGACATATTGTGCTACAACACTGTAATTGTCGATGACCATATTGCTCCATATTTCAGATAAAATTTCTCCAGCTTTACCGAAATTCTGCTTTTCCAGGTCCTTATTGACAGTACGTCCACTATGATCAAGATGAGTTCCACATGAGTCATGGGGCAAAACGAGCCCTGCTAATTCTTTGCTAAGTGGGGCCATTCTTCTCTCCACTCTATTAAATGCACTCCTACCCGGCGCATTAGTAAAGACGATTATAACGTCAAGATCGTTTTTTTTAAAGTGCTCTATTGCGTTCGAAATAACTTTTGGAAAACGAGGATTTTCGTCTGGTCCTCCATCAGATGAAATCATAATGATAGGTTTAACTTCACCTGACTCGTTGTAAACGATTTCCTTAAAAGATTCAAGTTCAATGAGGCTTCTGAAATCTTCTGCATGGGTAGATGCATTTGATGTAGAATGCTTCCCACTTCTAATAGCAATGAAGGTAGGGCCAGAATATGTAACCGCTTCTGGCTTACCCATTGCATTCTTTTTTATCGAACAGCCGGCATATACACTTGAAATCAATTTATGTTGATTAGCTACGACAAAATCGTGATCCGGCAAAGAGACTTTATAATCAACATGCATTAACAATGGGGCCTGCTTCCTAGCTGCGGTAATTCCGATAGGTACTCGCGCCTTATCATCCTGTGATATAAAGATGACTTGGTAGGGTCCTAAAATCGAAGCAATTGTTTCTAGAATCCGAATTGAAGCAATGCAGAAGTACTGGTCTGGATGCGCCTTATGATGATCAGCTTCAGGACGACTTAATTTTACTGGAACAGTAAGAACATGTCTTTTTCCCTCAAGCGTGTTATATCTTCTAGGCAATAAACGAATGTACAGTGCATTTCTCGATATTTTATAACCAAGCTCCAGTAACAGAGCATGAAGCTCGTCAAGTGTTTTGCAAGTTCGAACGATTTCAGAGCGGCGACGTTCTTCTGCTGAAGCGCCGAACATAGCTATATCAGCAATGGTTTTTAGTAAATCAGGTTGATTCTCTTCTAATCGAGGCCGGCCAGGTGTTAAGTCAATTTCCGCGTTTTCAGGTGGCTTTTTCTTATTTTTAAATTCTTTTATGTTTTCCCTTACAGTGTCTCTATACTTTTTGGCTTGCTTAACATGTAACTCTAAATTATTTAACGCTTTCTTAGAATTTTCAATTTCTTTTTTTAACTCATTTATTTTACGTTTTTCGCTTCCATCAGCATTTATAGAATCCCTTCGAAGATACAAAATATTTACCTCTTTTTCTAAATTCGTAATGCGATTTTTGATTTCATCTTGAGCAGGAGTAGCATACTTTCGTTTCAACACTGAAATTTTATCACCAAAAATTAAAATTAAAAATTAGAAAAAATATTGTACTTTTTAGAATAATCGAGAAATATTTATTATTTATATTTTTTATGCAAAAATTTATTATTTTAGTTTTAGATAAAAATCATAATTCATTGGAAAAATAAAATTAATTACGGTCTTATTCCTTTCTTATCTTAACTTAATTATTTTTTACTGTCTTAAATAAAAAATACTTTTATAGGAACAAAATATATCAATAGACAAATATATTTTTTAATATAAATCATAGTTATTATCCAAAGAGATGTACATGGAGAGAAATAAAAAAAAATATATATATAAATCATAGTTATCAAAAATATTATTGTACTTATTTTTGATTGAAAATGAGAATTCTAAATTAAATTAATTAATTAAATTTTAATCTGAATTAAACTGAAGAATTTTCGTTTTAGTTCTTACAATACGATTTCACACCATCGGAATTATTAGATTTTTCTGATGATTCCAACAATTCAGTACTAGGAACTGATGCTGTGGATTTAGATTCTAACGCATTTCCTGAATCTTTATTTAAATCGATGGTCGCTGATTCTTGGAATGTTGATGCTGTGGATTTAGATTCTAACGCATTTTCTGAATCTTTGGTCAAATCGATGGTCGCTTTATTCTTGAAAAAAAATTATTTTTTAATTTATTAAAATTATTAAAAAATATACTTTATATTATCGAAATGCTAATAAAAAATATTTAATCATTTAACGTAATAAATTTGACAAGTATACATATATATATATAATATATTAAAATATAATAACATACTTTTGATTTTGAAGCAGTCGAAAAAAAATTCGTGATATTTGTCGCTTGTTTAATCCTGCTTTTTTGTCGAAATTCTTTTAAAAGATTTTGAGCATATTCGCACAATTCCGATTTTTTCTTATATTTATTTTTTGCTTCGATCCAGAGAGCTACAAAATCTTGTTGAGTCTTTTGTGCTGACTTATAGCAGTTAATAATTTTATATTCTTTGAATAGCTCTTCATATAAAGTTCCTAAATTGGAACTCATTTTGACTCTAATAAGTAACTCTCTTTAGATAAAATAAATTATAACATTCATATTTTTTCACATTAAAAGTACGTTTAGTATACACACACCGGCAATTTTTGTTTACATTTGCAGAATCTCTGACATTTGATTTCGAGAATAAACCGTTCACAAATCACAAGGTTAGACCCACTTTTACAATACCCGACGTCGGTAACATCACTTTCAACCCATATTACCAATTGTAGGTGTAGATTTAAAAATCGCCGCTGCGCGCGGTTGCAAGGAATAATACC